AAGATGGAGCTACAAACTTTGTCTTCTCCATTGTAATCAACGAACGAAGAAAATGAATAGAATTACTTTTTCCTATGGAGTTACGAAACATAATTCCCCAATTCTCACCTTTCTCGATTCTGTTAAAGATAATTATCATGGAAGGGATATCATCAAGAAAAGGATGGATAAGAGCTGGAATGATAAGTGTTGACTAGTGGATAATTTAGTTTTTTTATTATTATCTAGTAGTGAAAATAGTTTTTTTTTAATCAAAAAAACTATTTTATTGAAAATAAGGAAAAAAAAATAGGGCAGCGAATATACTAAACCCTATATCAAATACAAATTCGACCTTAAAGTAAAGTTTAATCATTGCTCAATCTAGCAGACCGACGAACTTGAATTTTTTTTTTAGCCTTGGCCTTTTTCGAGCGATTTTGATATGTTGGCGCTGAAACCTCACTATAAAAAGACTTTTGTTCCATTGAGTATTCCGTATCGAATTCTTCATCATTGGAACCACTGAACCATGATTTAGTCCTCCTTCGGAATTTAGTTCTTCAATCGAAGAACTTTGGTTAAAAAGCAAAGTATTATTCCCTATCTCCATATCATCCTTAGACAAATACGTTTTTCGCCCATAATTGGCAGTAGAACCGAAAATTCTGGAGCTGCCGAATTTAACCTTTGATTGGAGCAATTACTAGAGATATTTGGGGAAGAATCTTCTTTTTCTAAACTTGAGGGAGACATTTGTTGCGCAGGAGAGTTTGAATTAGACTTTTCCTTAGTCAATTTTTTCCCCGATGATGTCGCAACAGCCGCAACAGACGCAGGCACAATTGACGCGCAGCTCAGTTGCGAATTAGCAGGGTTAGGTGGAGTTCCCCGATTTTCCTCCAATGCGGTGGATGCTGCCATTCTTCCATTGCTGAAAGTTAAGTGTCTTCTCTCTAGGAGGATTCAATTTGGGCTGTAACACCGGAATCATATATGTGACAAAATTTGTTGATTGTTTTCAAAACATATGTTGAGTAACGTGGTTCAGTGTAGGTCTAAAAGACAAGTTTCTTTAATGGTGGGAATATGCCTTTGAAATCAGGTACTAGTTGGAAAAATGGATATTTTTTGTTACTTTACTGAAATGTATAGCTGGACAACTTCATGCTAATTTTTGTTAAGTGAGCAACTTTAACATTATTAATCTCGAGCTTGCTATCAACAGAGGTTGTTTTCCACTTTACCGAAAATAGTTGTACAACATGTTGATTGGCTCCTTCCAAACATTGGTTTTCACTTTTAGAAATTCGCAATGAGCTATTAGTAATTCGTGCCATGCAGTTCTATATATGTTCTACATAGAAAATTCTTATGTATTGGTGGTATGCTAAGAGTTACAAGACCATTCATAAGAATGTGGGAGATTTCAAATGTCGGTTGTGGGATTTGGGAGTTGGAAGTGAAGGAAAACAATGGGCAGTAGCAAGTGATATGAAATTTAATACATCACCAATTTGGAGACCCCTTAAACTACTTAAGTGAATAAGGGTCCTGAAGCGTAGTATCATTTGAAGGAAACTTGTGCCATTACTAGTCTTCTTCTAGCATTCAAATCATAACAGTGTTTAAGGGACAAATATGGTTATTTTTAGAAAATGTTGCACATTGATTAGTGAAAAAGGCACAATCTCAAGAATCGTATAGTTAATAATCAAATTGTAGATCGTGAATGAAAAACAATAGATGGTACATATCAATTACAAAAAGTAGAGAGCTCCCTTTTAAATGTTCCTCGTAAAAGTTCTCATTTTATCAGGCTTGAGGATAAGTATTTTTTATCACGCTTGAGGATAATTATTTGATAGCGATCTCGTAGACGGATGATATTTTGTTAATGAAACCATTAACTAGAATGTATGAAAAAGATGTTTAGATGTGAAACTATAAAACTATATGATTTTCTTTTAGGAAATGAGCTGTCTTGATTGGAAAAGATAACAACTTCCTCTAACAACGGGGGACTTCTTTGCAATTTACATCCAAAGCCTCCAAAATATTTTTTTAAAAAAATATTATTTCCCACATCTCTCATTTTACTACTGTAAATTTTTATTTTTGAATTGTATTTTCTTTTTCCTTATGGATGAACCATCCATTTGCATATTTACAGATAATTTTTTCAAGTATGTAATTCAAAGAACCAATTAATGTTTTGAAAATATGGATAATTATACTGCATGTTTTCTTTGTTAAGCAATTACTGGTATAAGAAAACCGTCCAATGATAATATTTTACCGGTCAAGGTGGTACAAGGGGATAAAGGTGAGAAGAGTAATACCATTTCACCGATTGAATTAGACAAGAATCAATCGGAGAAGAGAGATCTTCAATTTGGGGAAAGTTATTCTAGGGTTAGGGCAAGGGTTGATGAGTCAAAATTGCGGTCAATAAATGCTACAAACTGTGGAGCAGAGCAATTAAAGGCACAAGCAGAATCTGAGTGAGATTTTAGGCATTAATATGTCACGCAAGCTGGAATGGCCACGATCAGAATAGTGAAGAAGCTCAAAAAGGGTCGTGTGCCATTAGACTACATCGAAGCAGAGACAAAAGATGGATTTCAAGTTGCTATGGTGCAGCAAATGGATGTACAGAGTGAATTGGAATACTAGCACCCTTTTATCATTAGCTTTGTTCTTGGTGCTAATCCCCCATTTCAGGCAATGAATTTGTTTTATCAACGAATTTGGAAACATTTGATGTTGATAATGTCATTCCCCAACCTACTGGACTATTTGTTATCCGATTTAAAACCTTGGAGGATAGAGATGAAGCGTTGTCATAGCCAGCTAATTACTAAGGGGCTAACTCAGTCATTCTGAAACCTTGGAATGTAGAAATGGGTTCTAGTTATATGGAAGTGAAGCATGTTCCGGTTTGGGTTCCGTTCCCAGGTCTACACCTTAAGTTCTAGAATCCGGCTACACTTATAGTTGAATGGCCAGCACTTTGGGGCATCCCATAGCTACAGATGCTTTGACTGCTACAAGAGAAAGGGTTGCATTTGCTAGAGTGTTAATTGATGTTGCAATTAGGCACAAACCTCCCTTGATAGCCCATTTTGTTGATGAGAATGGAAACTTGATAGATCCGGGGGTTTATTATGAGTGGAGACCTACTCAATTTAAAAGCTGTTGTTATTTTGGTCATGGCAAAGAAGTATATTTTCTATAAGGAATAACTCATGAATGAGTCTTGTCAAGCAGCGTTCGTATGTGTGAGGCAAAATCAAGTAAACGGAGCCAAAGGCACCGGAGCAAGATCGGTCTTGTTGGTTGTGACAAACTTTTTGTGATTTATCAGTCGACAAATAAAAGTGTGAAGGCGAGCATCAGCTGTACTGATATGACTCTTTAAATGTAAGCCTTAATTAAAAATGTTTGTTCGGATATTACAGCCAAAAAAAAAAAAAGATTGTATGTAAATTAACTACGAATTCAATTTGAAGGCAATGGAGCATTGACTGCATTTACCTGAAGTCTCCTTATACGTATCTTAGTTATACAAGTTTGCTTGGATAAACAACCAGAAAAAAAAAGAATTCTCTCCAGAATGAATTGTACCGCGAGTGGCCAAAGTTACAAGTCAAAACTCAATACATTACTTATTTTTTGAAAAAAGGTCAACACACGAGGCAAAATGTGACCCCTGCATATTTTTACTTTCTAGGAACTCCTAGCAAGTTGGGGAGCGAGCAGGGGAGGATGCGAGTGTGAGACCTCCAAACATGCTGGAAGATGTCTTGTTGGATGGAGACAAACGCTTTGTGATTTGTGGTCGATAAATAAAATTCTAAAGGTTAATCAATACAAGGTGGTTTGGATTAACATTTCGTGATTTTTTTGTTTTAATAAAAAGTCAAGACAATAATTCCTGAATCACTTATTGTAACCATAGAGTCGGTTTAACTTCACACTATAAAAGAGATCATACAGTCCTCCCAAACCCTCCTCCTCCCCCCTCGTCATTCCTACAGCCGCAAAATATGAGACACAAAATAAATCTTTTTCTTCCAAATAATTTGGGCCCTTTTTCACCAAGGTCGTAATTATGAGGGATTACAATGAGTAGCGAAGCTCTAGTTACAGTAAGAGACAAAAATATCAGGAATTGCTCGTCAGTACTATGTCTATTCGTACGAGACACATGCAGCCTTTGGGCGAGCTTCCACCCTACGCGGACGACTGGTCAGTTCTCTTTAGTATACAACAATTTTTTTTTTTTAGTTTTTCGTGTATATATTGTTATGATATTGGATGCCGTAATCTTTGTTGATGGTTAATATCCTTCGCTGATACAATTTTTTCCTCTAAGCCTTTACGTTATCCTTTCATTAATTTTGATGCATAAAGAATTCCTTTTAATTACTGTTGTTTAGTTAAGGAAGTGACTTCAAAAGTGAATTAGTTCCAATCCAGAAATATTAGTGGATTAATTTTTGAAACACCGGGAATAGGGGTTTTTTCTTTTCTTGTTCTATAACGGGGATGAAGCTTAAGGATGCATGGTTTATTGTGGATTGGAGATGATTTATTATCTTGAGTTGTTAAAATAAATTTCTTTGTAGTTTCAGAAGCTTTAGTTTTGGCTGAAATGTTTTAATTATTTAGTTTTGTGATGTTCAATGATGCACACACCAAAATCCTCAGAAATTTTTTAGTATATATCTTCTGTTTCTTTTAGAATCACGCAGGCATATGTGGTATCCTTAATTAAATTTGCATTATATTGTTTTATAGTTTTCGACCCTTATTGATCGTTTTAGTGTTGTTAATGCATTGCTCGCAGGAATGAAAAAAATCAGTACGCAAACAAAATGAAGTTGTAGAGAAATTGGCGATGCCTATTATGTTGAAGGAATTGAAAGGCAACAATAATGTTGTGTTCTCGCCAATGTCCCTCAATGTTGTATTGGGCTTTGTTGTAGCTGGATCCGAAGGCCCAACCCTAGAAATCTATGTCATCTGAACTTGTCACTTCGGTATTAGCCGATGAAAGTCGCTTTGGTGGACCTTGCTTATCTTCTGTTAACAGAAACTGGATCGATCAATCTCCCTCGTTTAAGACCGATTTCAAGGATAGTGCTGAAAATGTTTATAAAGCTCAAGCTAGTGAAGTTGATTTCCAAGACAAGGTCAGTTGTACTGTTTTACATTGCTGTAAACATTCATGTCTTTGTACTATTACTTCTCATAAAATAGTTTTCGTTCTTATAGCTATTGAGTAGGTCAAGTATTATGCATGCTTTTAGACTTAAAGAACTTGCGGGTGGGATGGGATGGGATTGGATGGGCGAAAGTTGTTTTACAACATCATTTTTTCTATTTCTTTTTTGTTCTATTTTTTCATTGAGTGGTGATTCTATTCTCACGTGATATGATGGAGTCATCGAATAATTTTAGTTTAATTAACTTGATGTTGAGTGCATATTCGTTTTTACTTGGGTTTAAATCATTAAGAGTCATTCTTGTTGGTGGTTTATTTTTTTGTTTTTTGGTGGAATTTTAGAAAGCCCTAACTATTTCTGTGCACTAATATTGGTATTGTTACAGCCCGATGAGGTCAGAGTTGAAGTGAATAGTTGGGCTGAAAATAAAACAAATGGCCACATCAAAGATCTCATTCCACCAGGTATTGTCGACGAAGATACAAGGCTAATTATTGCTAATGCCCTGTATTTCAAGGGAGCCTGGAAGTAAAAGATTGATGCTCCACTGACGAAAGAGCACGACTTTCACCTCTTGAATGGTGACAGAATCAAAGCACCTTTTATGACAAGTCACAAAAAGCAATATATAAGTGCCTATGCTGGTATCAAAGTGTTGCGGCTTCCTTACAATGAAAGCCAGGAAAAGGGTCGAAACTTTTGAATGTATTTCTATCTCCCATATACGATGAACGGGCTACAAATGTTGGTGGAAAAATAAGGCTCTGAACCTGATTTCTTAGAGGGCCTCCCAGCGTAACTAGTTAAAGTTGGGGACTTCCGCATTCCGAAGTTCAAGATCTTATTTGAGTTTGAAGATTCCAAACTTCTGAAAGATTTGGGCCTGGTTTTGCCGTTATCTAAAGGCGGATTCACTAACATGGTAGACTCTGGTGGTGAGGATCTTGAGGTTATAGCTGTCTTCTACAAATCCTTCATCGAGGTTAATGAAGAAGCCACAGAAGCTGTGGCTGCAACTGCCGCTATTTTAGGTTCATATTGGTCTACTGGTGAGCGATGGTATAAGACACTAGACTTTTTTGTGGACCATCCATTTATTTTCCTCGTTAAGGAGGAGGTGACTGGGGTTGTGCTATTCGTGGGTAGCTTTCTTAATCCTATTATTAACCATTAAGTAAATGTAGGCAACATCTTAACATTCTATATATTTTTTTTTATAAATAAACCAGACAAGTACTTGGGAAATTTAAAGATAACAAGAAGTATTTTTTTCAGGGTAGTGCTTCAGACTTACCCTATACAAGTGACCGTCAAAAAGCTAGAGATTTAAATATCAATAAATATACTGCTACTTTCAAAAAAGACGTAATTGGACCTATACAAAATTATGTCTAATGTCTGGTATTTTCCGGACTTTTCAAAACTAATTTTCTAATAACTCAATCAAGAAAAACTATAGGCTAAATTTCATTTCATCCTAATTTGCTTCTTTCGGATCACAGATCTGAACCACCGCGTTTAGTCGATATACGGAAAATCCAAATCTATGAGTGATATATAGGAAAATTGAACATTGTTAATTCCAAAATGAGCCACTAAAATATAATTAATCCGAATCCGAACCTCAACCAAACATATGAAATAACCGTACGAACCAATTTGATTTGTTTGTAATCCAGACCGGCAAACCAATATGTACCGGTTCACTGGGTATTGAGGACCGGCGGGTGACGGCGGTGACGGCTTCCGACTTGCAGTAGCGAACGGTGGACCTTTGTAGCGTCGGGCTTCTCGCCGGCACTAAGATATGAGACATCAGAGTCTCAAACTGCATCTGTCAAGACAGAATGGGGGGCGGCCGGATCCGTTAAGCCTAGGCGCGACAGCTACTTCTGCGGGAGAACGAGGTGGCGGGGAGAGGATCCTTTTGGCGGCAGCAATAGAATCAGAACTGAGTAACAACTCATACTGCGGCAGTTAGCACTACCAGGCAGCTAATCCACAGCCAACGATCCCACGGTAGCGCTTGATCTGTATCAGCAGCGGCTGTTCTTCGATTGTTCGTCTGGAGCTGTTTCTCTGGAGCCAGTCGCCGGATTAATTGATGGCCACTACTTTGGTTTTATTTTAGCAAAGGAGAAAAAACATAAAATAAGAAGGAAATTTGACTCCCCCAACAACTGTTAATGGTGGTTGGGGGAGGAGGTTTATTGGGTGGCGGCTGGGAGAGAGGGAGCATTTTTAACGTTCTATTCTACTCTTTTCGAATTTAATAATATTTTTTTATATATTGAAGTGCTATGAAATCCTTCCTGTCCTTATACTCCAAAAGAGCTTATTCTTTTTGTTGGGACAAAGAATCCTACATAGGTGTCATGAAGGATCTGTCGCTTGTGTATAAGCTTCAAAGGCCACCCCACTCAATGCCAATTGGTTTTGAGATGGAAGTCCAAAGTACTTATATACTTTGACATGGTATCAGAGCCCACGATCTGTGGACCTGTGATAACTGTGAACCCGTGTGTGTGGCCTTGTGTACTGCCCAGACAGTATATCCAGAGTATGTACCTGTGTGTACTACCTTGTTGACTAACCCAGTAGTGTATTTGGAGTTATTGACTGACCCAGCTGTATATCTAGTGAATCATCTTGTGTTGTGTAACCCCAATGGGCTAAATACCCCATTGGGCTTGAGGAAAGGTATTGGGACAAAGAATCCCATATCGGTGTCGTGAAAGATCTGTCACCTGTGTATAAGCTACAAAGGCCACCCCACTCATTGCCAATTAGTTTTGAGATGGGAGCCCAGAGTACTTATATATTTGAACACTTTTCCTTCAAAATAATTTAGTTCATTTCACTCCCAATTTGAAGACAGGCTATAATTTTTAGGACAGTGTGAAATTTTTCTTTTATTATTTGGATGTAAATTTAGGATGGCACCTATGAGTTTAGTTTCTTTTTTCCAAAGTATAAAATGACCTAGATCAGTCAAGCAATTCAGCAAGAGAAAATATGAAGGGCAAACTCATAGCCTGCCAATGAAAGATCCACTCATTCATATTTGACTTGTAAGAATTATATGTAAGATTCCAATGGACCTCCATAGCCAATGCATCCCAACAAGAATTTTTTCTATGTTTTTTTTTTTTTTTTGCTTCGCCGGATTTAAGTTAATTAAGTAATGACGGGAAATATGTCATTTTATATAATTGTATGCGATAATTCTGGTCATACTAAAAACAATGGGAAGAAATCCACAGAAAGCAATAATCTGAAAACATGGGCTGATAAAGTTTTTTTGTTTTTTTTTTTTCTGTATAAATTTTCAAACTTTTTCCCTGCCGGAAGTTGCCATGATTCAAGATTTTGCCACGTTCAGAAATGTGTTACCCTTTCAAACACAGAAAATATAATACCTTCTCATGTCGTTATTATAAGACATTTTGATTTGATTTAAATTTTATTTGGTATGTACTTTTAGTTAAAAATAAAATTTCATAAATATTTTATAGAAATTAGAAGAACAAAATAAATATAAAAGTACAATTTTAATCTATTACATTTTGCATTATTGGGAACAATATAATATGTTTTATTGAAGATTGACTACTAGCAGCTCAAGCACAGTAGAAGCCCGCATTTCGCACGAGATGGTACAAAATTGCTTTGCGGCACTGAAACCTGTTTCATTAGTCTCGATGAATTATTTTCCCTTCCGATTTTCAGCCAAATTTAAGTAAACGATAGGCAAGCATATAATATCAAATATTTCGTTAGTTCCAAACCAAAAAAAATAAATAACTATAATAATGTCATATAACTCTGTTGTTTGATTGTAACACAAGTATAAACGTTACGGTAAGTGGAAATTACAATGCTATTTTAGAACATGCGATCACGAAGACGTTCGATTTTTTTTAATTGCTTAGTGTGAACTCCTAGATTTGTGAACTAATTAATAGAAGACAATATTTTATTGAACTCTTATAAAATGTGTGTGTATGTGTGTGTGTGTGTTTTTTTTTTGGTTCATTTAATACGAGATTTTGAGAGGGGGGGGAGGGGGTGGAGTTTTAGTCAGTTCATGTGAAACTTAAATAATTGTTTATTTCAAGGAATCAATATTATGCAAAGCGAGTCATATCTCTTATTACAAATGATAAATATGAGCTTTAACTTTTGAAATTTAAGGTATATATCTTCCCATGATGTTATCATTTATATTACTTTGGTAATTATATTTAATTTAGGTGTTAAAAAATGAAATGAAAAAAACTCATTGATGCTTTTTCTGCTACGATACGATCATTGATGCTTTTTCTGCTAAGCTGTGGGGGTCCGTGAGAATGATGTACCCAAATTTTAGTTGGTAGAAAAAATTGTTCTTAGGGTTGGAGGGGTAGAAATTTATATGTTTCTCGCATTCGTGGTATGCGAACAAACTGGTATTCGCATTTCCTATATGCGAACATCTTTACGTAAGTAATTAGTTCAACTTAAACAAATAATATCAACAAAAGAGATAACTCAAAGTAAAAGTGTGGGCCATCACACAAATTTTGCAATCGCCAAATGCGAACATATTAATATATGATGAATTAAACCAGACACAGAAAGGAAAGAGGAAAGTGTGGGCCATCACAAAACCATCGCATTTGACGAATGCGAATATATTAATATATGAATTATTAAAGCAGACACGGAAGGAAGAAAAAAGATGTGAGTCATCATAATGTTTTCGCATTCAACGAATGCGAACAACAAATTATAGGTAATAAAAAAAATGAAATTATCTTTTTATCCTATTAAAATCTGATTGGTCAATATCTTATCGACACGTGGCAATTGCTGACAATTTGGATAAATGTTCGCATTTAGCGAATGCGAATGTGATGCCTAGACTCATAATTTAAAACTCATCATCCCTCCCCCCCCCCCCCCCGCCTCCCCAAATTCGGCAGAACTAAAAACCATCAATTCTTCTTGTATTCAGTTGAAATTTTCATTCGGGTGGAAGAGGCGGAGCAGGAAAGAGGCATTTTTCAGATTGAAGGTTGGATGGTTGGACTGAACGGGAGCAGGACAGAGGCAACCCATTTAGGTAAGTTTTTTTTCTCTATGAAATTTGTAAAATTTATACATTCTATTGTTATTTGGGGCTATTAATGTTGTTGTGGTGTACGAAATTACTAAATTTAATAATATCGGTACTTATTGAGAATTGGTTTTAGAAAATTTGCTTCAATAAATATATATTTGATGTAGAATGAAGAATAAAAATTATTTTGGTGATGTGAATTGTTGAATTTTGTTGAATATTATGAGTTATTTTATTAATCTAGAAAATAACCCGGTTGATCTCGAATTTTGGTCTTTATACCTCAATTTTGTGAATTTTATATTCTGACCCAATTATTTGTAATGTTATTGATTTGACCCTATTTTATTTTTTTTTATTCTGTTAATTTTATATTTTATCATTAGCGTTGAGTGTTAAATTCATGTATTGTTGAATAAATTTAGTTTTAATTGATCAAATACATTGTGTAAATCTAAATTTATTAGTTTGATCAAAATTTGTTATTCTTTTAATTGAAAACTTTGTTATATAGATGTCGAATTATATTTTTTGAATTATTAAATTATGTTAGAGATTTTTCACTAAAGACAGGACTTATTGTTAGTTTTTGGAGTAAATTACTGCTAGTGAGGTAGAATATTGTCATAACAAGCATGAATTGATGTATTTGTATGTTTAATTGAATAAAAATTAAATGTGCAGGCCCTTAATGTGTCTTTTCCGGGTCCCTTCGATCTAAATATATTCTGGTCTAGTGATCGATCTTGTTGGGGATATGGGGAGAAGTTATTTATGCCCGATGCAACAGTTCGTATCGATGGAGTGTGGAGTTTCTCTGAACTTGATAATTAAGTACACAGACTGTTGGAATCTGAGAACCAACAAATACTTCCTCTGCAATATGTTTTAGTCTGCACACATGAGTACGGCAGAAGGGGGCAAGCGCCCATAAGAGACGACGAGTCAATGTCATGGATTTACCGAGGTGCCCATTTGTGTCCAACATTGTACGTAGAGGTTGCAGATGAACCTGTTCAAGATGTTGGGGAAGGAACTAGTGGTGGTCAGTATGATGGTGCAGGGAGTAGTGGTGTTGGTGGTACAAATGAAGATGACGATGCCACAGAAGATGACGTACATGGGAACAGTGACGAGGAGTATGTGCCGTCCGATGAGTCTGATGATGATTACAGTGACCATGACGCATCTTTAGTAGTACCTTCTATTTTTGACGACATCAATGATATGGAGAAGTCTGAACTGCATGAGGATTCTGATGGGATCACAATGTGGGACGGTAATTGGCACACGATTAGATATGGTGTACATTTTGCTAACAAGAAAGAGGTACAAACAGCTGTGGGGGAATGGACATTGCGACAGGGTCGGGCATGTCAGGTAAAATATAGCCGTCCCTATACGTGGGCCGCTGAATGCGAGACTAAAGGGCTGAAGTACCCAGAAGAACTTCTCCACGGCACTACTTGCTTGTGGAAATGTCGAGCGACCCTGCAAAAGGACACAAATACTTGGAGAATGGTGGTATGGATCGAGAGCCACAACTGTCTTGGTGCAACCACAAGAAACGAAGGTCGTAACTTGACGTCCACAATGATTGCTCGATTGATCACAGCCAATGTCCGAAAAGATCCAGGTTATTCAGTCGCGCAGATCCAAGTCGAAGTAAATAAGACATACAGGGTCACCCCCAATTACAAAAAGGAATGGCATGGTCGAAGAAAAGCACTTGAGAGTCTGTATGGCACATGGGAAAACAACTTTCAACAACTGCCCAGTTTTCAGGAAGCATTGCTCAAAGCGAACCCAGATACCCGTATGCAGTTTAAGTTCACTAAAGATACCAAGAATCGGAAGAAGAAGGTGTGCAGGTACATTTTTTGGGCATTTGGGCCAGCTATACATTTATTTAGAGATGCTTGGCCGGTCAAAACCGTCGACGCCACCCACCTCCGAGGTTCATACAAAGCAACATTGATCGTGGCATGTGTGAAGTGCTCGAATAACACAATTGTTCCCATCGCGTTTGCTCTCGTGGATAAAGAGACATTGCACAGCTGGAAATGGTTTCTTAAATACCTGAAAAAATTTGTTCTACTTGACAAGGAGACCTGCATTATCTCTGATTGCCATATAGGTATTCTTGCTACTATGGATGTTATGCTTGATAAATTTCCAGGGACGGGAGTGCACCGTTATTGTCTGCAGCACATCAAAGCAAATTTAGCTGGCAATTTTCCTGGGCAGAAACTCAAAAGACCTTGTCAAAGGGCTTGTTCAATGTTGCAAAAAGGGAAGTTTGAAAAAGAATGGATGAATTTAGAAAGTAAAAATAGAGATGCAGCCATATATCTTCAGCAAATCGGTCTTGAGAAGTGTACCCGTTATTGGGACGGGGGATATCGTTGGGGAGAAATGACTTCGAACATATCCGAGAGTTTTAATAATGTCTTAAAAGGTTGCCGGATGCTCCCTATCATTGCTTTGATTCTTGCCATATTGTATAAGACTAACAAGTTGTTTCAGGAAAACATAGATGAAATTGACAAATGCCATTCACCCCTCGCGACGAATCCCATGAAACGGTATGACGATTACCTTATACATCAGATGGGTCACGAGGTTACCAGATTCAGCAAGAGGAATCAGAAGTACCAAGTGGTCACGTACTCACCACCTGATCGGCCATGGAAGGATGGAAATATCCATGAGGTAAGCTACGCCGCCAGGATGTGCACATGTAACAAGTGGCAGACATACAGGTTTCCCTGCTCCCATGCGCTTGCTGTTGCCAGGTATCTACGTCATGATCCATAAGAGGAGTATAGTGGAGTATTCGCATAAGGGGAATGCGAAAATTCTTAATCTGGCCTGGGGCGCCACGTGGCGTCATCTGGGTTAAGTTCGCATACTGTCAATGCGAACAACTTCAGATCTAAAACTTCGAAAACTTCTCTCCCCGTCAGTTTTTCTCCGGTTTTCACCATTGAAGCTGGCGCCTCCTCTCTCCCTGGCTTTCTCCCCGTTTTTCAGCCATTGTTCCCGGCGCCTCCTCTTCCACAAAAGGTAGGTAAGTGTTTTGTACTTCATAATGCTTTGTTTATTTTAATTTATATGTCGTGTTATTTCGTTTTTGTTCTAGTTTATTTATTCCATTGATTTCTTCGCATTTACGGTCGGCGAATTTAGATCTAGTGGAGTTGTTGTCGCCGGCGTTGTCGTTGTTGTTGTTGTTGTTGTTGTTGTTGTTGTTGTTGTTGTCCTCGGCGCCGGCGTTGTTACGCTGTTGTTGTTGTTGTCGGCCGGGGTTGTTACGCTGTTGTTGTTGTCGTCGGCCGGCGAATTGTTTTTTTTTTGTTTTATTTTTATTTAATGTATTTGTATTTGTTTGTTTTATTTTTATTTAGGGTAGTTTGTATTATTTTGTATTGTTTTTTTTTAGTGTATTTGTATTAGTTTGTTTTATTTTTATTTAGTGTATTTGTATTTGTTTGTTTTATTTTTATTTAGCGTATTTGTATTTGTTTGTTTTATTTTTATTTAGTGTATTTGCATTAGTTTGTATTATATTTATTTAGGGTATTTGTATTATTTTGTATTATTTTTATTTAGTGTATTTGTATTAGTTTGTATTATTTTTATTTAGTGTATTTGTATTTGTTTGTATTATTTTTATTTAGGGTATGGAGACGGGATCATCATCATCTTCGCAGTCTAGACAATATGACCTCCAGCAGGGTCCTATAGATAAGAGTTTATTGGTCCTTCATGATGATCATAGGTCATTCCATACATTTAGGGGTAATAAGGCTTATTTGAAAGAACTTTCCACATACCGAGTGGATACTGACCTATGGCCTGAACTGGACAAGGCTGTCCCATAGATACATGCCCAAATAGCAAAGTTTGGTTTAGGGCCACTTTTTCGAATTGGTTCTATTAAGTTAGATTGGGCCCTCATTACAGCCTTAGTTGAGCGATGGCAGCCTGAGACCCATTCATTTCACTTGCCTATTGGAGAGGTGACTATTACTCTACAAGATGCCGATTATTTAGAGAGTCTGTTTGGATTCGGACAGCATCCTAAGGCCACGAAGGATAAGGTAGTAAACATCACAGATATAAAGAGACACATTATGACTAATCTGCTACCTGGAGATGCTACAGAGGATATGCACCTTCAGCGGGCACGTTGTTTTGCCGGATGGATTTTAGGAGGGTTATTGTTTCCTGATAGCAGCAAAAACAGTTTTCCCCTGGGCCTGGTGGGGTATTTGGAGGACCCAAATACATTTCGGGAGTTTAGTTGGGGTAGTGCTACACTGGCGTGGTTGTACCGAAATCTATACACTTCCTCAGTGATCACATTGTGTGGACATGGTATTTGTGGCTGCTTACTACTCTTACAGGTAATTTCAAACCGCCCTTGTATTTATATTTGATTGTTAGTTTTTTATTCATTTTATTTTAATTTTTTTTGGATTTACTTTTATTTTCCTTATTTGTAATTTTTTGTTAGAATCCTATTATATTATTTGTACTTTATTGTTAGTTTTTTAATTATTGTATTTGTATTTTTAATTTCACGTATTATTTTATTGTAAATTAGTTATGGGCTTGGGAGCGGATTTTGACTTTCCGTCCGGAGTTACGTGGGCCCGTACCAGATCTTCAGGGGTGTCCCTTGGGCAAGAGGTAATTAATTTTCAACTATTCAATAATTATCTTAATTAGTTATATTTTTTGATAATTTTTTTCCTTTTTTTCAATCAAAACTATATTTTTTGTTGGTGGAACCGTCCTAGAAAAGTGGGAGACATCACACGATTTAATCTAACCGCCTATGGAACCATCATAACGTATAAATCAATTTATTTTTTTTCGTATATATTCACATAAATTTTTTGTATTATCTGTCCCTCTACAGTTTGTTTGGATGCCGTATTCTCCTGCTACCCTAGCAGACATTGATCCATCTTGCTCTGTCGGCTCCGCCTTATGGATGTCCCAGACTTGGCTGCTTTATTTTGGTATCCGAGAGCCACACATCCCAGGCAGGGTGTTGCGCCAGTTCGGCTTCTTGCAGTGGGTGCCTGACAACACTTTCATCATGGAGAAAAAAGAAATAGAAAAGTTGCATAAGGAGACGCGTGGCAAGAAATGTCGAGATGACGTCTTACAGAGGTGGGAGACTCGACACAACACCCTTGCAGGTCTTCAGACGGATATGACTCTTGAACCCCAGGCAGAACCGGAATATCTAGTGTGGTATCAAAATCGCTTTTCTGTCACTTTGGTCACCAATCCATCAGACTATCGTCAGCCCCAGGGTTTTCAGGGATCTGCTGAGTCACTACATATAATGGTAAGTTACAGTTCTACTATTTCATTTAAAAAATATATTTATTATATATTTTTAATTTACCATATATTTATTTCCTTTCATAATTTTCAGGCCAATTTAGTGCAAAACATGCGGCATATTACTCTAGATGGGCTACAACGTAATCCAGCTGATTCTTGGAATCACAATGCCTTCCTATAGCTGCACGATTTGACACAGCAGGCAATGACTGTCAGCAAGAAATCTGTTTGAGCTGATAGTAAGAACCCAAGCCAAAATTTTGTTCCAGCTGACCCAACCCAGGAGTATATCCCACCTAGGCCTCCCAGGACTGACCGAGGCGGCTTCCAGTTAGGGAGTGGGAGAATGAGAAAACCTGTGGCCACCCAGGATACCGGCGGGCAATCTTCTACCCCGCATGTGTCTCCTTACCGTCCAACATCGCCACACCACCATCCCTCTCCTCCTTTTGAGCAAATGCATTTTGATTCAGATTTTATTAATCTAGATCGTAATGCTGGGGGTTTTTTTGAGACTAGTTATGAGGGTGGTCATCATAGTCAGCATCTAGGCGGTGACGATATCCATAATGATTAGGAAGATGATCAAGATCATGAGGATATTCGGGATCAGGAGCATGATGATGATGCTGATGATGCTGAGCATTCCTCTCATGATCATGATGAGGGCGCTGATCAGGGACAGGGCCCCAGTGATGGTACCATGCCTTTTACACCGATTGCTTTGGGTAAGGGACAGCGGAACATAAAGAAGAAGAAAAAGTGCTGCATGACAGATTCTCGGGAGAAAAAGCGCAAGATGTAGAAAAATTAGATTGAATTATACTTTTATTTTATGCTATTTTATGACTTTTGTTATTAATTTTAAGCAACACCTTTCATTTCTTTTCATTAACAATTTATTTCGGTTTTATTTAATCTTTAAGATAAAAAAAAAGTTAAAAGGCAAACATTAAAGAAGAAAATTTCTCAAAAAGACAATATTGTACAATTTTTTTAACTCTTACTTTTATACAATACTATCTTTTTCGTCGTGCCAAATTCAAGTTTCCAGGTCGCCAAAAGATCATTGTTAGAAGGAACTGTGGTTTTATCAAGTTTAGCAGGACTGATTATGTTAGATGAAAGCAAGAAAATATGATTGTTCCTGATGGTGTCAATGCCAACCGTCAACCTGGAATAGCCTTCTTGGAAGCAGGTCTTCAGAGCGTTTGATTGAAGCACTTTCTTGTTCAATTTTCATTGTGGTACTGTGCAAATGTGATCTGAGGCCATTGACGACATTATATTTTTGCCATTTTCCTTTATATTATGTCAGATTCTAAAAGTTTTAGTTTTTTTCCTTACTTTAAATGAATTGATTCTAAGTTTTATTATGTAAAAAATATTATTATCCTAAAATTAATAAACTTGATTTTTTGACATTATATTTTTAATGATGGTGAGTTTTTGAATTGAAACCAAATAAAAGTCAATTTTTTAAAAAAGCAAACTTGGTTACAAAACGCAAGATTATATTCTAATTTTTCACCGAAATTTTAATTTACTTCTTATTTAAATTTTATTATAAATACATTATACGATTTCTGTTCACCAAATATAATTTTTAGGATTGCAATTCTACTTAGAACTAACATAAATTTACTCAAATCAAATGAATACTTTAAATTTAGAAAATTTAATTTTCAATTAAAATAACATTTTTTTTTGAAATATTACATCATTTTACCAACCAAAATATTTAATTTACAACATTTCATTTTATACCAATTTAAAGTTAGGAAACAATTTTTAAATACAAATTTAAAACATTCGCATATGGTATATGCGAAAAGTTTATTTTCGCATATGACATATGCGAACACTTATAATAATTATAATTATCCAGTTTTAATCCAATGTCTTTAATGCATTGTAATTAATTCAATACATTTTCGCATTTGCCGAATGCGGAAGTTGGTTTTTTCGCATTTGCCAATTGCGAGAAATATATTTCTTTCTACCTCCGAAAACCTAGCCATAGTCCTGCTTGCACTACCACTTGGGAGCATATTTGTGTCATTTTTCGTAAGCTGTGGTGGAAGGTGAATAGAAAGATGGGTCCCAGGAGTAGATTCTTACTCTCGCTGTCACCTACGGCAAGGAGAAAAACTTCATGGAGGCGCATGGAGGGAATTCATCTCCACGCTAGTGTGTATTCGAAAATCTTAATTCGGCATGGAGATAGTCTCTTTTGGCATGACAACTGGATGGGCTTGGGGATTCTCTGGGAGGATGTTTCGACGCCTCGACCTTGGTGTAACCTTACCATTCGCCAATTTTCCGCAGTAAGCATGAACTTTTTGCTGAATTTACCCCTCTCCTGGGTGAGGAGGCTGTCGAGATTCTGAGGTGTTTGGAGTTAGATTTGGAGGAATAGCCGGATGTCTGTGTTTGGAAACAAAGCTTGACGGGAGGTTTTTCCATTAAGTCAGCTTATGAACAATTTCGAAGGAAGAGAAACAAGGAGCATGCGCTGAAAAATATATGGCATCTGCGGATTCCCATGAAAATTTCTTTCTTCTTGTGGAAGCTGAGAAATCTCTTGCTGCCTTTCCCGGAATCCCTGCGCAAATTTGGTATATATGTGTATCACTCTGTTTGTTTATTCTGCAAGAATCATGAGGAGGAGTGCAACACTGTTTTTCCGGGTGCCATTTCTCTAAGCAAATTTGGGAATTTTTTTATAGACTTTTCAATGTAGGCATGGTTGATGCACAAAATCTTGATCATGTTTTGGCTGCTTAGTGGAGTAAGGGCATTTTTTCCACAGCTTTTAATACTTTGAAAATGTTTGTTCCTCGATCACTTGGAAATTATGGATGCTACGGAACAAGATTATTTTTGAAGGGGCGGCTGCAAATCTTCAGATGTTCGTTCGTAAGATTATGAATGACATTTCTGATGTATTACGAGTCCATGAAATGGTACATAAATCACTTGCGGAGCAGGAGTTTTTGGAGAATCATTTTCATGTCCGTATGTTGGAAGCTGCTGGCGGATGGAGCTTTTATCTTGAGTTCTGATGGCTCTTCAAGGAGTCAAGGGGCTGGTTTTGGATTTGTTATTCATGGAGGTGGAGGGGTCTTTGTTTATGGTGAGTTAGGTTTTATAGGTGACAGTGATAGTTTGGAGGCGGAAATTGCCTGTTTGTTGTTTGGATTGAGGAGGTGTGAGCTCTTGGATTTATTTCCGGTACAATAGGGCAATAATGGATATATTAAAGGTTCAAGATTTACCTTGGCGACATATTACCTCTTTGTTAGAAATCATGGCCATCTTGGAGAGACGAGCTTTTCTCATACAGCACATTTATTGGGAAGCAAATGCGGTTGCAGATAGTCTAGTGAAGAGAGCCTCTAAGGGTTGCTGCAATGTGTTTCGGGCTTTGCAAGATCTTCCATTTGCTACTAAGGACATAGTGTTACTTGATCAGCTTTCTATTCCATATATTCGTATTAGAAGGGCGTAGTTTTTACTCAGCTTGTAATAAATAGTTCGTAGTAATCTCCTTTTGATATGAGTTTCTGTAACTTCCAAGGGTTAGTTAGATGCACTGCCCCTGGCGCCTTTGCAGCAAATGGAATAAAATATGGGAGGAACGATTTTAGGGAACTAGGTGATATATATGTTTATCCCTTGTGTATACCCTTTGGGTGCATAGTATCACCTAGCACTGGATGGCTCAGGAAATAGCTCTTGGGTATACCCTTGAGTATTTCTTGAGTTATCTAGAACTTGAACATTGTTCCATACTTTTTCTTCTTAAAAAAAGAAAGAAATGAAAAAAACTCTTGTCAAGTGCTAACGTCTTCTTTGTATGTTGAAATTATATTGCATCCGATACAAATTATTTTAAAATATTTTTCCCTTTATTAATTATATTTTCATAACTACCCTGATCCCTATTTTTCCAAAAAAATTAACTTTGCCGGTTTTAGTTCAAAAAGGGTGGAATAAAATAAAAAATTAATCCATTCTCTATCTAGTTTTGACCAGATTCAGGGGCCCTGAATGATTCGGATTTGGCAAGGACGGGGAATCACTCATCTCTCTTGCAATGCTACCACTGCCACCGCAACTGGGAAGACCATATGTATGTTCTATTAAAGATAATTATCAAAAAGGAGTTTCTTTCATTAAGAAAAGGAGGCATTTCACCTCTAGAGTTAATCAAGATAGACAAGGTTAGAAGGATAAGTGATGATTAGTTGATAGGTTTATTTTTACTTTTTTATTGTAATCTTGTAGGAGACCTTTACTTGTTAAGCCTATAAATATGACCCTACCATATCTTTGAAATTTAACACAGGCACAACGTAATCCTTTAAGATCTTCCATTATTTTGTTCATTATTCTTCAATTTTCATTTTCTTCTTGGTGTTAGAGCAGGTTCTGTCCTGCTTCTGTAGCCTTGCTTCCGCTTATTTTTTGTGTTTTTTCGTAATAAGTCATCATTTTTCTATTCTCATCTTGGTCCATGCTTTGGAATATTAAAACTCCAAATTCATCCAATTGATAACTCCTGCAATATTCTCCTTCCAACGCCAACATATATACATTTATGATTTTCTCAAAAGTGTTTCCATGCTCTATTATCACTCCAGCCAAATTGGTCCAATCCATCCACCCATATATTTCACATTATATGAAAAAAGAATTTTTTTATCCAAAAATTAAATTTCAGTTGATCCAAAAAACTCAGTAGTTGACTTATGTCTGTGTCAATCTACAAAAATCTACATCATGGCAAACGTTCGATCACCTCTCAAAACAAACTTGGACATGTCACCCAAAAATATAACCATACAGTTATGAGAATCGATACATTTCGTTTCTCAACAATGTCTAACAGCTCAACAATTCGAGCACGCCTCTCAAAAACACACTTTACGTCGCTTACAACTTACCATTCACAGTTCATCAAATTTCAGGCAAGCAACTCAAAAGCGTTGTTAGAATCACTCAAGAAGCAAACTGTGTCTCTATCCCCGACTCAGTTTAAGGGAGCGTGTTAAAGATAATTATCAAAAAGGAGTTTCTTTTATTAAGAAAAGGAGTCAACGGAACAAAATTTGATCCCCCCAAATCAGATACCTCAATCTGATAAGCATATCTCGCTTTTGAATAAGGAAAAGACTA